AGATTGACGAAAATGATTGGGTAATACTGCATGAAATTGATATAAAAAGAGAATTGGATATACATTAGCCTGGGTTCCAGTCTGTCGATTTTTTATGTGCTTCTGTTCGGCAAATCGACAGCCTGGGGAAATACAATTTTCGATCGAAGCGCCACCTAGTATACACCCCGAAAATTACGGGTGTTATTAAAGAACGATAACTCATGCAACAACAAACTAGTTTCTAAAAATAGAAACGGAATTTCCACGAAGTGACCCGAAGCTCAACGAACAGTTACGGAGCCTCGCTTTCAAAACACCATTTCCGATTAAAAACTAACACTCGTTGACAAAGTTTATTGCATGATAAGTGAATCTGATCAACAGGTGTGATTACTTAAAGTAGATAAAGTGCGTGAGCATCAGATATTTGTGCTGGACTCAATTTATAATGGTAAATGGCGTCAAATTTTCAACATTTATCATCTTCGCCTCGATTTCGATTTAGTCATGTTATTTGTTGGTCACGTGCTAATCGGTCTATTAATAGGATTATCATTAGTCGATAATTACATGGGAAACCCCGCAGGTTTCCCCAGGCGTTGATACTATCAAAACCAGAGATGTTGTGCTATCTATGACGATCTAGTATGAAATAGCGCGTAAGTTATGAATAAATAAAAAAATATCAACGCCTGAATCCCAGGCTAGATATACATGTACAAGAAGTAGTAAGTAGTTTATTGTATTGTATGTGTTTATGATGAAATTTCAAATTTAAGGTAAAATTCAGAAGTGGCTGAAGTCAGTTTAAATTCTTTAATGACAAGTGATTTTTTTTTTTCAAAAATTGATCTTAGTGTCCAACTTTATTTGTCATCCAATGAAAACGCTGTATTTCTTAAATATTCTGTGCGTTAATTTTCATAGAAGAACAAAAGTCTATACTATATTGAATTCTGTTCATAGTCGCCTTCTATTTTTCATAGTGCTTCATAGATTCGCGTTTGTAAAAATAGTCATTTGCATAAATTTGCACATGTATGGAGGGTTATTTATGCCAAAATTACATCTTGCTTTCTTACGTTACATCGTGCTTTCTAACTTGTACATCGTGCTTTCTAACTTGTACATTATGCATTCTGACTTTTACATGTTGTTTTCTTACATGCACATTATGCTTTCTGCTGTGTGCGACTTGCTTAATTTTATGTTATGTTAATTCAACCTGTCAAAAAAATGTCTTTTTTTCACTAAGTTGAAATTATTCACTAAGATGCTTTATGAATACGGCCCAGGTTCTTGTTCTCAGTGTCAGCTTAAAACTGAAGGAACTGCTGCCAAAATCAGCTGATTCTGAGAAAAAAAATAAAATAAAATGTCAAAACTGTCTAGTCTGTCAGACTTAAGACAGTTTTGCCTTTTTTTTTCTTTTGCAGCGGTACGGGCTATCTCTCTTCATTTGAATTTTTATATCACAGGTACCCTCTCATTTTTTAACACATACGTACCCACAATGCACGACATATGATTTTATTTGCGTTAATCGTTAAGTATGTAATATTTACATAAAAGTAAGAAATATTACATACCTATTTAACAATTAACGCAAATAAAAGCATATGTTGTGCCATGAGGGTACGCTGCAAAACCGAAAGTAGGGTGTTTTTATGAATTTTACATTTATTTTTGACAATAAACTGCAATTTGTCCGAGGATGATATGCAAATGAACATATTAAATATGTATGATGCATATATAATCAAGCACACGGTTCATTGCAGCCCGAAAAGTATGTCGAGGTGATGGGCGAGGCAAGACATGTCGATTTTTTGTAGCTTATTGTGAAGTTGCAGTACATGAAAAACGGGCACATGACAAATCAGCACATAAATAAAACATTCTAGTGTTCCGTGGTATATATCTTTTGTACTTGTCAAACCCCCTTTCCTTATTACATTGAAATTTTACTGGATTGTTATCCATCGCTGGTTTGTTGTTAGCAGAGAATAACCTGTGCATGTGTAAAGAGGGTACCGTTTGAGCAGATTTTGCAAAGAGGGTACCGATATAGATATGCACCGTGGTGTAGCTTTAGGACGAATGATTTCATAATAATAATTGATGAGTACATAAAAACAAAATGTACAAAAATGGTCCTAAGAAATGGTTATAAAATGAATATTGCATGTTTGGCTGAAGATGCATTATTAGTAGTTCTCTTTAATTATAGCGTTCATGATATTGGAAATGTATAGCAGATCTTACTCATTTAAGACAAAAAAGTATTATACCTTAAGGCAATAGTATTTGCAATACAAACACCACTGAGAATGTAATAAAAAATTGTTTATTAATACCTTCTATGACAAACAATTCATTTGATTTTATAACCATTTCTTGGGACATTTTTGTACATTTTGTTTTAATGTACTCATCAATTAATATTATGAAATAATTCGTCCTAAAGCTAAACTCTCACAGATTGACAGACTAGACAGTTTTGCCTTTTTTTTCTCAGAATCAGCTGATTTTGGCAGCAGTTCCTTCAGTTTTAAGCTGAAACTGTGAACAAGAACCTGGGCCGTATTCATAAAGCATCTTAGTGAATAATTTCAACTTAGTGAAAAAAGACATTTTTTTGACAAGTTGAATTTAAAAAATCTAACGTGTGTACAAAATTTGTTTGAAAATAGGCAAGAAAATGTCCTAATTAATAAAAACACATAAAAAATGTTGTGGATGGTCACAGGTATTGGAAATAAGCCATGTCAAAATTTAAGAACTTTTCAAGAGGATGAAATATTTTAATAAAAAGTTTTTTTATGGCCCAAGCACTTTGAACAATGTTGAACAACTGTTCTATTTTATAATTATTTTGTTGATGAAAAAAAAAAAAAATTCTAAAACCATTGATTTGATCATTGTCAGCTGGAAATATAATTTGACCTACAGAGTTTCATTAATAAATATAAAAAATGGTTAAATCGTTTTGTATATTTTCTACATGAGTGCAAATGGAAATTTTAAAACAAAGGGACGTAACTTGGTAAACTGAATACGAACCGCAATACGGACTTTACCGAGAATATTACTGTAGCGCCACCTGTTAGCATAATTTGGATGTCACATATTATTACACCAGATGTCGCGTTGTATTATGCCTGCTGCATTCGGCTTTCGGCTATGCGCATTCTACCTTATGACATTCGTCATTCAAGCTGAGTAAATTGACCTAAATACAAACAGTTTCAGGTTAATTTATTGAATTAATATACCAGATCAACAAATGAATAATAATTGATCGTTAAATAACGACATCAACATAAAATTAAGCAAGTCGCACACAGCAGAAAGCATAATGTGCATGTAAGAAAGCAACATGTAAAAGTCAGAATGCAAGATGTATATGTCAGAATGCCTAATGTACAAGTTAGAAAGCACGATGTAACGTAAGAAAGCAAGATGCAATTTTGGCATAAATAACCCTCCATACACATGCGCTTTCATGGGCTGCTTTTGAATATTAGTTAAGTAAAAATGACGTCAAAAGGTCAACGTACATTTTTTTTTCATTTATTGATAAAGTATATACATGCAGTTCAGATTTAAATCGACATCTTGGCGAAAAAGATACTGCATGTGTTTCAGTAAAAACCAATACAAAATGTCAATTTATATTTTTGTTGCGAATGTAGAAAAAGGACACACTGTATTGGCTAGCCGTACGGCACTTTTCAAAATTTTATGGAAGTCGAAAATGCATATGTTATTTTATGACTTTAAGCGAGGATTTTAACCAAGAAACAGCATTAATTGTCTTCGGATGTTAACTTTTTAGAGATTCATCGCCTTGATCGCTATATATCGATCTTTGTCATCGCAAGATGTCGAGAAAAAAATAGCCTTTGGTTGCATTTACACCAGAGACATAGTTATCTATGTCTCTGATTTACACCAATTGAAATAGTTTACAAAATTTTGATCATAATCCTTTTTTGTTTCATTAAGTTTAATTTTCGACACCTTTAATATGAAAAAAAAAAACAACAAACACTGAAAATGATTGTTGTTAGGCTCTTGATAATTGCGACAATTACCGACGGTACTGTATAGAAGTTTGTCCATCAAGGAACGTTTGCATGTTCCGTGAAAGGCATTCTAAAATTCTATTGTCAGTCCCTGGATAGGTTTTAATTAAGGCTAATTAATTGATTGACTGTGCTTATATGTTCGATATTTATCTACTGTTTTGAAAATTATATAATTATTTTTGCATTTCACCGTTTTTTTTTTCAATGTTCTTTTTATTTATTTATTCCACTCCGATAATTTTTTATTCGATCCATGTGCTTAAAATTAACACAAATGATTTAATAATTCATCTTTCATACAAATAAAACAACAAATGATAAGCATGAAAATCAACAATTTTATAACGTTCGACTTCCATATAATTTTGAAAAGTGCCGTACGGCTAGACAATACAGTGCGTCCCTGAACTTTTGGCTAGTCGTACGTTTCTTTATTTTTTATTATTATTTTTTTTTTTTTTTTTTTTTTTTTTTAGATATTGTTACGTATTTTGAACCATAAAAAAATCTCCTCTACACCTCTTGTGAAAATTAAATTGTCTGGTCAATACTTTATTATGTTAATATTTCCTTACGATTCAACTAGATTTATCATGAATCTAAAGATGTGGGGAAATGACATCACGCGCACCTGTTTTTATACGGCCAATACAAAAACATGGCCGCGCTTACTGATTTGTAGAAATCGGTGATTTAGCGATTTAAATTTTGTTATCATTCGTTTAATATTATTATTAAGCGGCAGAAAATTTGCAGATTTATTATTTATAGTATTCTTTTTCTGAAATCAAGTTTTTATTCTAACCTTGTCTTTCCCTTTAATTTGTAACAAAGAGGAAAGTCACGTGTGTCTATTCACTTTTTTTTTGGTAGAAAGAAAGTGAAAATAGACATTATGTTTTTGGAAAATACATTACGTGACCTCGTGTAAACACATGACGATTAGTGTATACATGTATAAATCATATAAGATATTAGCTACTGAGTATCAGTTGTCCAACTCATCAAAGTGTATAATTCATATCAGGTAACAATCATAGCAACACTATTTGGTTAGTTAAAAACTTATGTTAAGGTATTAGGACCCTAATGGGCACTATCAGGAACTAAAGAATTGACATCATAGGTCAGATGTATACCTTAAAGTACACCTGTATGCAAAATTTAAACAAAGTTTACCGTACGGAAATCAAGTTATGGCCACTTTTCTGAACTCAAGCTAGGATGTTATGAGGGCCCTTTTTTAGAAATGAGGAACCTTTAAATAATCTGCAATAACATTCTAATGAAAACGTTTTCCTATGAATTTTTGGTAAGAAACAAATAGTACCATTCAGCTAACAATCCACATAAGCCACATATATCTGTATAAAAATGTTACCCTACCCCACCCATTTTTACCACATGTCTGACCATTTTTCTACTTAGGGAGCCTAATTCAAAAAATTCTTAAAATTTACCCAAATGAGTGCCTGTTTTCAAAGTTTCCCTAAATTTTTAAAAAAGTATATTGGTTGATCTTGTAAAATATGAAATACTTTTACCGTCTAGTTTTGATTATATTACACTTTGAAAATATCAGGTACCATATTTATTACTAGATTTAGCATAATTTAGCCAATAAATACCTATATAAATTAAAAATTCAAAAGTAAACACTTTTTCTTTCCATATGGGACATGAGAGATACATAAATAATGTTAAAAGAAAAAAAGAAAGAAAAAAAAAGTTGACCCTTCTGGGGATTGAACCCATGGCCCTCATTTTCAATGTAGTTAACAGTAATTCCAGCCTATTTGAATACTCTTCAAAGCGGAGGTAATGCATTAGGGTGCTAATACCTTAATATCAAAATCATCATCAAAGTTATCCAATTAATTTTCTTTGATTTTCATCGCTTCCTCATGTTTCTGCTGAGTTAACTAAAACTCTTGATTTATGTATACTATTTTCTATGGAAGCAAATATGCATTCTAGATTATGTTAAAGAATTTAAATAATTTCAGTTCTACTATAGTTCAGCTTTTACAAATTTTCCAAAAAGTACCCCCCCCCCCCAATCTGCGCAAGTTTTATGGTTAACCCTTTCCCTCATTCCCTCATGAGCATATTGTGAAAAATGGCCGTTTTCATTGAAAAGCCTCCTGTTACAAGTTCAAACTGCTATGAAACTATGAAAAATGCTTCAATACTAATCAAACTTGGCACAAATGTTGACTGGACCATTGCCTTTGTAACGACATGCTCAGTCTTAAATTTCCTGTTACCATGGCAACAAGGGGACATCTCAAAATTGCCAAAAATCACTATTTTGCCTTGATTTTTTCCATCAAAATTTATTTCAAAGTGCTGCAACTTCTCAAGGGCAAAGGCTTTTCAGCGTTGGTAACTCGTTACCTTATGATCGACCTCGGGTCATTTTTAGCCTCTCATAAGTCCAAAATTTTCTTGGCGATGAGAGGGACTACCGCCCCCTTCAAACCCCCCCCCCAAACAGAAGGGGGCACATCCCCCTTCTGGCAACCCCTGATGTATCTTTTGGATGGGGGCGGCGCCAAAAAAGTGCTCACTTTTTTAGCAACATTTCTCAAACGAAAACATGTGTTTGGGGCAAATAGGACATTTTTTTCACTATTTGAGGCCAAAAAGAGGGGGAGGGGTCGAAAGTGTGTTGTTTCGCGTATATATGAAGTAAAGGGTTAACAAAAAATGATGAAAAACTTTGGAATTACCCAAAATCTAGTTTTTCCATGTTAACACCTAATTTTGGTGAAAAATTGTTGTCTTGTAACATTTTTTAATTTTTTTAAGTTAACCCTTTCCCTCATGAGCATATTGTGAAAAATGGCCGTTTTCATTGAAAAGCCTCCTGTTACAAGTTCAAACCTATTTTATTGTAAATTGGTTACTGACAAGAATCAGCATCAAGTACATATTCTGTTTATCAGAAACATTCAGGTTCTTCTTTTTCATTGCTTTCAGGTAGTATTCAACTTTACATGAAATCATTGAAATACTTACTAAACAAAGTTATAATCAAGAAAATTATTCCTAACAATTTATTTAGTGGACAAACAGATAAACTGCAAGATTTTGTTTGGTAACTGTTAGTCTCAGTATGTGATAAATAAGGTTGAGTCAGAGCTTAATTTGTCAAATAAAATCAGAAAACATACAGGAAAGATTTTACCACTCTCAAACAAATTTCCTAGTAAACATATGAATAGGAAAATAGGAATGTACAGTCTTTGAATTTCCTTACACTTACAAATTATTTTAATTTTAAATGTGGAATTTTACAGATTAACTCACTGGAAACAGGATTTATTTTTGCTGAACTCACCTGTAGAAGTGGTTCAGGGCGGCACTGTTGTTGGGAGTATAGTATTATCAAGAAATCCAGAATAAAGACGACATATTAGAGCAGAGTTTAAGTTTATGGTAACCTCAGGAAATGAAATTGTAAGTACATAAGGCTTTTGGCACCAAAAAAGGTTATACTTAGTATAGAGGCCAGTCTCTAAACTATTTTTTTAAGGTCGAAGCATCAGAATTGCAGCTACCGTTAATCCCTACGTGATCGTAAGAGGCAACTAAATAGATTTGAATTTTTGGAGCTTATGCATTTGTTAACTCCAGCATGTGAGGTGGTTTTGGCCCCTGGTGTTGCTTTAAGTTTGTAACAATCTCTCCCTATTAAGCTCAGCTGGTGGCGTAAAAAGTAAATCAAATTGCCTAGGAGTTCAATATCATCTTTCAGATTTTGGTGCAATATGTGCCCTAAAACCAATTATATTTTTTAAGAACCATATCTAGGTTTCCAGGGCCCTCTTGACCCTCTTGTTTAAGATTTATTTTAATACTACGGGTTCTACCATGAAGTAATGATTTCAGATATATTTATTTGTTTTTATTTTAAATATTTATTTGTTTTTATTTTAAATATTTATTTGTTTTTATTTTAAATTTGTTGGTTTATTTTATGGTTACTTCAGTCAACACCAGCACTGTAATGGTCATGTGGCAACTTTCCAGCTGTACTTGTGAGGGAGACATCAGATGCTCCACTGTGCTTTATTTCAGGCATGAGGGGCACTTGAGTAGAACCACTAACCTTCTAATAGCTTCCTCACATGAAAGATTCTGACAGGGTTCGAACCCATAGAGGTGCGGGTTAAGTGATTTTAAATCCATGACCATAACCACTCGTCCAGGGAGCCTTGTTGTACTACTTAGTGTATATATAAATTTGTGTTTTAAATATTTTATTTATTATTGTATTATATTTTATATCTTTGTATTAAATTTCAACTTTTAAATTAAATGTCTCGCAGCTATTTGTGATAACTTAGTTAATGCATGTTTCTCTGTATTACAAGTTACAACAGATAAAATTATATTTGTTTTCAGTGTAGTAAGCACAAGAAAAAGTTCTTCATAGGGAGATAAGTTTCTCTGTACATTGGCCTGATCATCATTGACGTTAACTTATAGATGACTAGCAGCCTTCAAACCAGGCGTACAAGACGCATCTCACAACTTCTTGGTTCATTTAGTCAGTCTTTGGAAAAAAGGACATTAAGTATAAATTTACCAATTTGGCATTGTATATCAGTTTACAATCATTGAAAATATATATTATGTAAACAAGTAATGAATAAATGCTTGAAGTAAATTATCTGTTTAATCTTTTTATATCTTGTTTATTTACACCTATTTTTTGCAAATTCACAGATATAAAAGTAAAATTGTCAATAATTATTGAAAATATTATACCCCCATAAGCAAAGTTTATTGGGTATAGGGTATATAGCATTATAGGAGTCTGATTGTCGGTCAATCAGTCAACTTCCTGGTTTTCGGATGATTACTTGAGTTTTGAATGAGTTATTATCCCCCGCTGAAAAGGCGGCGGGGGATATAGAAATAGTCTCCGTCCATCCGTACAAACCAGAGCTACATTATGGGGTTTGGTCTATTGTTCTCATAACCATAGATGTCTTTGATGTCATTCATTCCGTTTCTCTTGTGGGGTTATTTTCTGCATTGTGGGGTTAAAGAACAAAAGAAATAACAACAAAAAAACCCATAATGTAGCTCTGGTAAGAACGTCTGTCTGTCCTTCTATCCGTCCGTTCTTCCATCCGTCCGCTCTCGCAGGACAGTAATAATATGGCTAGAGGGACAATAGGTAACTGTTCTTTCTTTTTGATGTCATTCATTCCGTAATGCTTTGATGTGGCTATTTTCTTTTGTGTGGTTAAAAAGAACAATAGAGAGAACAATAAAGTAGCCACATTATTACTGTCCCGTTAGAGCGGACGTCATTGTGTCTGGAGCATATCTCAAAAAACCTTTGAGATATCAACATGAAACTTCATAGGTAGATAGATCTCACTCAGGAGGTATGCAGTGCACAAGAATGATAACTCTAGCTTTCATATTTTTTTAGTTATTGCCCCTTGTTATTTTTCATACTTAATTTTTTATCTGAGTGGAGCATAACTCAAAAGTCTTTGGAATTTCAACATAAAACTTCATAGGTGGATTTATCTTATTGAGGAGGTAAGCTGTGCGCAAGAATGATAACTCTACCCTTTATAATTAGCTCACCTGAGCTATTTCTAGGTGAGCTTTTAGGATAATTGAATGTCCATCGTCCCTCGTCCGTCCAAACTTGTTCATTAACACTCTAGCGGTTACATTTTTGCCTCAATCATTATCAAACTTTGTCAGGATGCTTATCTAGGTAATAGCTCGGATGAGTAGGAACATGGGTCACTAGGTCACAGGAGCTAAAAATAGAAAAAACCTTGTTGTTAACACTCTAGTGGTCACATTTTTGACTCAATCATCATCAAACTTGGCCAGGATGCTTGTCTAGGTAATTGTTCGAATGAGTTCGAACATGGGTCATTTCGGATGAAAAACTAGGTCACAGGAGCTAAAAATAGAAAAAACTTGTTAACAATCTAGTGGTCACATTTATGACTCAATTGTCATCAAACTTGGTCAGGATGCTTGTCTAGGTAATTGCTCGGATGAGTTCGAACATGGGTCATCTCGGGTGAAAAACTAGGTCACAGGAGCTAAAATAGAAAATCTTTTGAACTCTATAGTGGCTACTATTGTTATCCAAATATCCTGGTAATTGGTCTAAAAGTTTGTTTTGAAGATTTCTAGGTCAAGTTTGAATATGGGTCACCTGGGGTCAAACGCTAGGTCACACTGCCCAAAAATGGAAAAACCTTGTTAACACTAAAGGTCACATTTTTTACTTGTTATCGAACTTGGTCAGGATGCTTGTGTAAGACATTGCTCGGATGTGGTTGATGAGTCAGGGGAGCGATCTAGGGCCACCTTGGCCCTCTTGTTTGTGACAATTTTAGGCAATTTTACTCTATAAAACAGCTTGATAACAAGCCTTTGTACATTTTTGGGACAAGTTTATGTATTCATATAGGTAAGCATTTTTATACTTAATGAAACACCCTTGTGACAACTCTTTCGCTGTCCTCCGACAGTTCTTGTTCAATTATGACCGCTGGTTCTAAAGCTTATGGAGCTTTATATTACTGTAACTTGCTATAGCTGTTTGCCTTCTACTTTATTTAATTGATAATGTTCTCTTCTGTGTCAAGTGAGACAAATTTTCGAATTTCACCCTTATTAACTGGAAAATAGTTTATCCGCTATGATAGGAATGTCATATCTCGGCGGTCGATCCTCTAAGTAACTAACCAGTAAATTATCGATTTCTTTTCCAGTGACCGAGCACTTATCTTTACATGATTTCTGAATCAGCGGTGGGAGACAAATGACCATTAGACTCGAAGATCAATGTCACAGAGAAATAACGCCTCCCCCGGGGATCGAACCAACGACCCATGATTTGCAAATCCGATGCTCTCCCTATTAAGCTAAGCGGTCGGTCGAGAAAAGGAAATAAAATTGCCTAGGACCCCTTTAATTATTTTTTCTTGGGCGTTTGTCAAGAGAAATAATACCTGTATAATCGATAAATTATTGTCGTTAAATAAGAAATAAATAAATGAAGAAACTTTAGATGCTCAATTCAAAATGTTCGACTAATAAAGTGAACTTAAAGCCGTAAAAATAAAATAACTATAACCGTTAGCTATAAAAATGAATTTCATTTTTAAAAATGACCGATTGATGTAAACTCAAGACTGTTTTTCGAGCTATTTATATCATAGGCAACTTGAAATCTACTTATAATTCCATAATTTATGCATATTCTTGAAGAGTTTTATGATTCGTTTGATTTTTTTCCAGTTATACCAATTATCTTTTTATGTTGTATTTTAACGTGAGTTTCAATAAATTCTGCCCACACTCCACTTGTCAATCTCACGTGCAAGTGTTGTATTTTGAAAAGAAGAATAAATATTTCATAAATTTTAGGGACGCTCTTTAAGATATTTTTTTTAATATTGCCTTACAACATTATTTTTTAGGGTTATGTATCGAATAAGTAGCATAACAACGTGCTTAAGACGTGTGATGAAGCTTTAATTTGTGTTGCTGTAAATCATGAGATACACTTAAATCTGGCTCGGCACCGGACATGTTTACTAGAGAGCAATAAATATTTCGGAAGATTTAATTGAAAATCTCTTTTTGATAACATTATTTCAAGTACATGCACTTCAATACCTTGTCATAAATATACTTTGTTACATCAATTGTCTACTTGAAATGTTCTAATTTTTTAAGCCTGTCTGTCCTGCTTAGGCCCATATTCGGTACAAACGCATGAAATATGCCTACAGAGTAGAAAAAATCCAAAATAAGAGATAATTAAGATAAATGACATACTCGGTATCTGCGTTTTAGTTAAGGTTAAATCACAGGAACTTGATATTTAATAAATAAATCACAACATAAACGTATATTAAAGAAATAGCCCTCATCTCCATTAGGTATTTGATTAAAACTCCAGACAGTAAGAAACATTGCAGTGTAAATCCGGCATTACCAAGGTCAGACATGGCTTTGGGGTAGATAGTAGGTTTTTTTTAAGTTTTCGTGTAGATCTTATCATATCTTTCTTGAATTAGTTTGATAACACTTTGTCAATGGTGAGCTGAATGTTATATTCACAATGGTGTCAAAGATGGCGGATGAATACTAAAAATGCTTTAAATTAATAATGTTTTGACTCAAAATCATTCATTATCTGCTTATTTCAATGTCATTAAATAAAAATCAAAAGCATTTTTATTTTCCATGAGGTGCTTGTCATTTTGCTATGAAAGCAATACCTAAGTTGAAATCAACCATATACTTTTGTATGTCAGGAGAATAAATCTCAGGGAATTTGCCATAATTCTGTCAAAATCCATGCTAGAGTTATTGGCCTCGGATAGTGACCTCCTATTATGCTCTCAAATAAGTGTGTGAAGTTACATGCAAATATCATCAGTGCATGGTTGATTGAATGGAAAACTTTAACTGAAGTGTTACGCCGATGCCAATGCCGACGCCCGAGTGAGTAGGATTTATAGAATAGTCAAGCTGAAAATGTACATTGTAACACGATTTATAAACGAAACATGCACTACCTCTTACAATGCAGAGTCAAAGAGAAATAATTGTTAAGTAACTAAGGCATTTCTGACTTATTTATGGTGGCATATTTCTACCACCAGATAACCATATACTAACTAGTTAATTAAGCAGTTACTATCATTCATCTGCAGTATGGCATGTCATTCAGCAACTTATCACGCCTCTTTCGTTTATGTAAGTAGCTTCCAGCCAATAGCATTATAACAATGAATCTTAAACCTTTTCCTTAAGTAAATATAAAATCGGGTACAATTTTTATTCCCAGTTTTTTTTTTTCAACGAAGGGGGGAAGTTGGGCATGTCCCACACGTTTCTATGTATTTTGGCAACCAAGCTCTGGAAACAACAGAAGAATGGTATAAAAAGACGAACGCGCCAGACATGAGCCAGTGCGTCCAACAATTCTTCAAGATTTTACACTGTTTAAATAAAACAAGAGGAATAAAGATGATGCGTTGTTCAATAACCGTTGTATTGCTGGCGACTTGTCTCTTCAAACCTGGAGGTAGGTTACACTTTTTTTGTTAAAAGGAGATGAATAAGAAAGAAAAAATGAGTTTGAATTGGAAAAAGCAGCCACCAAACGCAATGGCAAAATAAAGTTTTATTTTTTATTATTATTTTATTTTAATTTAATTATTGATATATTTTTTTGGAAACCTGCAAGATAAAAAGCCATCTTATTTTCAAGAAATAGAAGGAAAGAAAACGCACACAAATAAAATAAAAGAAATTTTGTACCTTTTGCTTATTCATGAAAGCTAAACATTTGAGCATTTTAGGAAACAATACAATTTGCAAACAGTTGGGAAAATATGAGATATATTAGTATATATTTAAATTTATAGAAATAAAATCATTTGAATGTTAATTATACTTACGTATATAGATTGACATTTTTATAAAACAATAAATTCTGTTGTTTTTTTCAAGTACGCCATTGCTGTCGTAAAGCTTTTTATTCTATGCTAAACAGTAAAAATTT